TTTTCCTTTTGGTCAAAAAATAGACCTCCTCAAAGTTTCTAAATATTTATATTTGGGCATGAATTGAAACACCATGTATGTTTTGGTCGGCCCCAAACTATCACGTTGAATTGTTATCATTTTAATTATCATTATTTCGCAATAAAACAAAATTGAATCTCTTAAAGGAATGAAAAAAGACTCGTGAGTTGCTAAGATTAGTAAATTTGTATGTTAAGACTGAAGAGAGTATCTTGTCGAGAAGACAGAATGCTGAACCATAAGCTGGCATCATCAACGTCCAAAATTTGAATATTGCTAGGCTCATTCCTACCGGAATCACCCGTTGTAACAAAGCCTTGGAATTTGATCTAAGGAATAGATGTCTGTTTAGAGCACACTCCCAAGGAAAAGTAGGGCTGCTTTCATTTTGAACTTAAGAATGTCTAAGTGTATACCCCAGGAAAACCAGGCACAATATTATAACGCTAAATTGCAAAGAATAATTCCTAATCTCCCAAAAGTGAATTACACAGAAATTATCCTTGTGACTTCCAGACATTAACCCACAAAGAGAATGAGAGTTAAAAAACAGTCTTTTCCGTTAAAGGGTGCTACAATGATATAAAACAAAAGTCTTTCCTCTACTTTTTAAGGAAATGTCTTGTAGCTAAAAGAGAAAAGGTAATCTTGCCTCTCACAGAAGCATAGTACAGTGTTCGTGCTTGCATTAGTTCTCGCACGGTCTAAACACTAAGCCAGCTTGTTGTAAAAGGTTAAGCTTGCACTATGGGGTCGCCCTAAATTTCCCAAGAATGGGTTATGTGTCGGTCTTTCCGAAAAATCTGCTCACACACACACACACACACACACACACACACACACACACACACACACACACAAAAATACATGTTAACACCTTCATTACTTGGATAGCCTTCTTAGCAAGTTTCAGTCGTTTCACTAAATGAAAACACGCTTGATCGATCTGGGATACTTTACAAATACATATTTTTTGAGACGTCTATTGCTGGACAAACTTCTACCGGAAAAGCAAGGAGTAAGATGATCAAACTCTCACGAGTTACAATATTGGGACTAGGGCAAAATATAAATTACTTGAATTCTTTTAACTTCATAGGAATAAACTAAACAGTAAACACAAACTTGCTAAAGGATAATTCAATCCCACTGATAGATGCCGTGTCTACGTCCGAATCCAGAAAACAATATTTGTCTTTTTTTATCTTTAGTTTTTGAGGTGAGTAAACTTTGTGATTCTTTCTCTCTTTATCTCGCACCGTAAGATAACAAAACACGCCTAAATTCTTTGACTATGAGGAGTGCCGAACACCAAACTTCAACAAAATCCCAATTTTTTTGTATAATATTTTTAAAAACAATTGAGCAAAACTACTGCTGAAGAGATTTCAAAACACATAGTTTCGCCGACAGACTTTTGAGTATTAGCTTTGAAAGCTGCCGCTACACTATTCAGATATGGTTTTTCAAATCTGTCGCAGTAATATCAACCATTGTTTGAGCTCCTAGCTAGCCCAGTGAAATTGCAACTCAGGAGCAAACCTACTCCCTTTGGAACATCTGTAGTATAAAGACATCTCAGGAAGCAGAAAAGACAGCCAAAAGCAGGCCGAAACACATCACATAAGGATGTTTTGAATACCTTAAATTTTGCACACGTGGATCCAGTACAGCCAAAATTTTGCCTGCTGATTCTCAATCATCATAACACGGCGTTTGATCTTAGAAAAATATCGTTCGCAATTAAAAGATTTGGGTATTCTTAATACGATGGCTGGCTTTGATGGGTGAAATTAAGATTCCAAATAAGCATTTTGTGGAATACAGTCCTACACAGGACGTGTGAAACTTACCGGAGTTGATCTACGGGTAAAGGCGTATTTAAATGTATGTTATTTATGTTCAGATTTTTATTTGTTTTTATAGGCAGATTTTTCGGCAAAACCAACACACAGCTCAGTACGCAAATAAGTAACTCGAATTACACTCGAAATGTTTTTTCTCCTTAAATCGTCAAGGTTTTCAGCTATCCTGTTTTTCAGATTTTCGCAGTCGTGTTTTGTTTCCTAGCTTTTGTGACAGAGTTATTGAAACCTCGTGGCTCAAGTTCTTGATCTCTTTCTAGGTTCTATTTTTTATCGTCAATAAGCCATGGTGGAGACAGAGAATTAACAAAACAATTGATTTCAAAATGACAAAAAAACTTTTGTTTTCTGACAATCAGTTGATTTAGTACAATCCAAAGTTATATCATGGACAAACGACAATTTGGATAAACATTTACATCTCTTGCACTTAAATTCTAACGAGTCCCGTTGTCCAGCTCTTTGAAAGTTTAGTCTTGAAACTTATTGCGAAATATTAGTGAAAATCAAACTGAAACTTAAAATGCATCATTAAAGTAAAGAGGTAGCACAACACGTCTCCGGGACTCGACTTTTTGTCAGATATGTCAAAATTTCTGGCGTGGTCACAAGGCAGTTGAAATGAAAAATCTTGTGATGAAATGCCGACTCGGGAGTGAAATAGCAGTTGGTGACTAACAACGTAATCAATGATGGTTCCAACATTGTCATTTCATCTTCTAAAACCAGAAATACGAGTGCTTGAATTCTTTGAATTCGAACGGATTAAGCAAAGTGAAAGTTTACAAAATTATAAATCTCTATCTCAACAGAGGAAAAGTTGAATGCATGTGTCGTAAAGCAACGGACAAAATGGAAATGTGAGAAAATGAACCCCACACCCCTTGTAAGCTCTCGATAATAGTTCCCGTTATCGACGGTTGTTCATTAGCAAGAAAAGAATACCATTCTTGAATCTCCCACATATTTTAAACAATATTTGGCCCCTGACATTCAGACAAAATAGCTTGATTTCAAAACAAAAGTAACACATATTTCAGACAGTGGTTTCAGTGAGAAATCTCGGAGAATGATTTAACGTGATTCATATAAAGGACAACGGCAACATAGCTCACGGATAGGCTAGCGTCACAGGTGCTATTAAATTTCTCTACGAGAAAGGCTATTTTCGAGGCTAGCACATCAACAAAGTTGAGGAGTTTGGACAAACTGCCATATAAGAGCGTTTGTTTAAGACTGATTTCACTGATCATTAGTGTTTTTGCAGTATCGGAAAGTGTTGACATATTTTGCTGGTCTATCAAAATGATAAACAATCGCGTTATCGATCTACGCGAGTCTATAAAAAAAAGAAAAATTAAACAGCTAAGGCTTTTCTGCCTGATTCTTAATTCATCCTCATCGAGGAATATCAAAAGACAATGTCAAGTTTATAATGAAACTAAAGGTTTCGCGCGCTCTTTGGTAGAACCATCACCTCGCATTTCAAAGACCTTCAGATGAGATCACGACAAAGCTTCGAGGTGGCCTCTTATCACAAACGTCATCTTAATTTATGATTTTGGTTCAAACTTGTTTCTTCCTTTACTCTGCTAATTTGTGCCTTCATCAGGATAAATAAACTATAGACTAGATCAGTAAATAACAAGATAAATAACCCATAGACTCTTATCAGCGGTCTTTAAAAGCCAACAACTTAAGTGTGCCTAAACAGTGAGATGACACGTCCAGGGGAGTTAAGAGTTCCATATTTTGATCCACTGTTCCTCCTTTACTATCGTTTAGCAAAATTTACTGTATGAGGATAGTTCAGCAGGTTTGTTTTCGGAAGAGCTATATTCCCGCCTACAAAAGTAAGTCAGTAGTTGTAAAGTTAGTGCGAAAGTATGTTGCGAAGTTTCCACTTTCGCAAGCATAAGCTCCGCCCCTCCATGTATTATCAGGCTGAAGCAAGTTTCGGATTACTTCTAGAAAAGCAATGCTGATTCGTCGCAAAAGTATACAGAGAACGCCCCTTGAACAGAAATAGACTAAACCACCTATTTCAATTTCGAAAGCGTCCTTTTCTATTACATAACGCTTCAATATTGGATTCCTTCCTCTTCATTCGTTACGATACTCGCGAAGAGCTTGTGAAGAGGTCATCGACAGAAGGGGGACTGTTTTATTTTTCTGATAGTTAAGGTATGTGGAATAATTCATAAGTGTATTACATTGCCATTGAAGTCATTATCATTCGTTCGTTAAAATGAGGCAACGGAATGATTTCATTCGTGTAGCGGACTCTTCGTTAGCGAACGGTGTATAACTATTTAGCGAAGAGCCACCTAAAAGTTAAGACAAAATAACAGTGGATGAAAAACAAACGACTTACTTAAGAAATTTTCACCACAAACGAACCGAACAGAACAGAACGACCTAACATTACCAGCAAATGAATCAAGAAGACAACTTTCTAAAGAAACAGTAGTAAGCGGAGTATAGCAACATAATTTGGTCTTGTTGACTGAGAAGATAATTCAAATTGGCCACAGTAGAGACTTTCTGAAGCAGAAGTTTCGAGCGTTAGTCCTTGATAGAACCAAATTATAATACTACTGTCAGACCGAAACTGACCAATCACGACCTACTGATACCACTTGAGTGTTATTGCAAATAACATCACGTCCAGACTGACCAATCCGTTTACACAAACAGGACCTATAATATTCGACTCAACAATGGAGAAACCTACTTACAAAGGAGTCTTAAAGTCCATCGATTTTCAGAAACCTAAGCTAGAATTCGTATAAACAACCGACTCTAATTTTCATTTTCCTCGAGCAGTTTAAAACGAAGCATTTTCCATTCTGCAGAATGCGGAATTCCTTCAGCTAAAAATTTCGATAACAAACAATTCTATGTAGCATAAAAAGGAATCTTTAACCGTGACTATTCCCAAAAGGAAATCACGATGCTAGGTAGCACCGGCCCCTAGAAGCAATAACGATGCAACCACTGACGTGAAATCACACCAGAGAGGAAAAGAACGGCAAATGAACGGCGGCTTTCACCCGTTTGAACACTTAGTGAAAACATTTACATTAACTGTGAAAAACAAATGTCAGTTTTGTCTTTTTTTTTTTTTTTAACTAAGTTGTCATAAGAATTCATTTTCTTCTTTGCCGTTTCCATTTATAGCAAACATAAACTTACTGAAAATGGAACGAAAGTACAAATCTTGCTGCAAATACAACGAAAAACAAACTTCGAAGGGGAGTAAAAATTGTGGCCTAAATTTTTTTCAAACTCTTCATTCCCATAATCCATAATAATCCATTCATAATATCCATAATCCATTGTAACCTTCTCCGTTCTCAGTCATCGTCGCACCCTTCAGTTTTATTCTCTCCTCTTGAGTAATTTCCCATCTTATCAGTGTGTTTATTTTCTGCAGTTTCGTCCGATTTGACGATAGTTTCGAGCGTCGAAGAAACAACCAGTTTCTTATCCACTGCTAAGGACAGACAGTGGTGTGAAGCCGCTCATGAATAACATTCAGAGTAAAATACGATAAGATCAGCAGCATCTGCTTTGGTAGGTCTAGCATCAGATGAAAAAAAATGGAGAGTTTCATTAGCTTAAACGGTGTTAAGTTGTCAGCCACAAAGGCTTTTAAATAAGAGCTTTAATGCTAACACACAAACTACTGGGCATGCATGTCTCACTCGCTCGCTTTCACACCATGCCACTCTCCATTCCCATAATTCTCGGTTGTACGTGTCTTTAATACCGCTGGCTTTGTATTCTTCAGACGGATTCCGCGTATTGGAATGCATAAATTTACACGCAATTTTAAGGGGTGTCGGCTCTTACTAACTCTGTAGCCTTTCTGAGAGCTTCGACTGTATCTGTTTTTACTGATCTTTAGCTATCATTATTATCAACATTCAAATGATTCCGTGATTTACAAGGCGTTTATTTCTCTGTAAAAGCCCGGCTGTGTGTCTTTCTTTTTTCCATAGTTTCGGTAATGTGAGAACGAGCGCTGTGAAACCTGCCGAAACGTTGAGACCCCTGATTGACACAACATAACTTCTTTTTCCTGCCACATTATTTATGTTTCTTCGGTTACTGCATGCATGCATTCACTGAATGGCCAGACTCTGACCGCTTACAACAGTGACCCAAACCTGTGGTACCATAACAGCCCCGGCTTTGAGGACAAAAAAACTCGAATTTGGGAACTAAAAACAGAAATAAAGAAGAGCATCGACTGAAATTTAAGCACAATAAGCCATGTGGGAAAGACTCAAGGCAAAAGCTGACGAGAACTTTGCCAGACTAACGATTTTTTAAATTACCACTCACCACCAATGATGAATTGAAGGCAGTCAGGGGCCGTAGTTAAACGTAAGCCCACAGGCTATTCCTGCTATTAAAAACAAAGTGACCTCCGGTTCATCAGCAAAGATCACTATCTCTTTATCTAGTGAATATAAAAGTCTAACATGAAAATCTGGAAACTAGAAAGGAAATTAGCTATGACATTATCCAGTACTGAACTAAATGGCATCCCGTGATATCCCGTAACGCATAAATTATGTCTTAATGTCTATTATTAAAATAATTATTCTTTAACCAAAGGTGCACTTGCACACATGCCCCGGCTAGAAACATTAAAAAAAATTCCTTTATAATTCCCGCTCTTGAAGAAAAAAGGCCCAATTTTTTTTCAATTTCTTTTCTCTGCGTTTCTTGCATCTTTAAGATGAAGCTTGCGAAACAAGCCAAACACACGCGTTAGTTCGTGCCAAGCCATTCATCAAATCATTACATCTTTTGTCAAGCAAAGGCTTTACCTGAACATCTGTGGTTTTGTTAAGTAATACCACCTCTAATGGCTTATAACTAAAGTCACGGTACTTATGAGTTTCGAGTTCAGAGCTCGCTGAATGTGGTCAGTTTTGTCTACGCCATGCACGCAGATTCGCCGTAAAGAAATTCGTGCGTAGCGCGCAACTCGTGCACGAAACACAACAAACGTGATGTTATTTAGGCGCCCTTTCCCTTTCTTGTCGCACAGAAATCTACTTTGTTTAATTGTTTCATTTCTGGACCGGATAAGTTTAATTTTTTCCAAACTTTGTACGTGCGTGCGCAAAACCAGTCAAAACAATGGAGTCCAAGGAATATTATACCACGATTCAGTAACTTATAACAGGCTTCGTGAAAGAAAATCGCCGAGTAAAGAGGCGTGTTCATCTCAGTATTTTCAAATCTTAGTAACGAAAAGGAATCGATCTTTTCGAATATTTTAGCATTTTACAGTAAGCGTCACCAGTTGTCCTTTAGGAAGGCTATGCGATCTTTTCTCTTAATACCGATTACACGATTTTAAGATCAACGCGTCGCCTAAAAGTCTCCATGTCGCGCTCTGGTGTCTTCTGTTTTGTGATATCTTGTTTGGCAACAGTAGGAGTGATGCTTACTGTGAATGGGCCGATAAAGTTTGTAAAAAACACGTATTCCATTCAAAGGCTGTAGCAAAGTCGCTTTAAGAAAAATCACCTGCGCTCGTATTTCACCCTCGTGACAAAAGACTGCCTGATTTTGGGTTTTCTTCACTGAATCGTGATTCTCTTATTTTGGAAAGTTTTTATCTAGCTTTTCTATAATCGCATCACCCCTATTCAGCTATGAACAAAAAGTGTTTGACGCGAAAAAGCTATACCCCAGAATTCACCACCATTTCCAACTCACGTCCACATTGAATTACTAGGTCAGCAGTTCTAACAAACCAAAAGATCTGTTTTGAATTTGAAGCACGTTTCGCACGAAAGAAAACGGAATTTCCACTCAAATTTTGATAAGAGGATGCCAAAATATCATTGAATAGACCCCCACTTTTGTCTTAATACTAATTTAAAGGAAATAGGAATTTACAACCACTGGGATCGTGACGTAAGCACCCCACCCCTTGAATCAGCGGTCACAACTGACGCCGTTCTGGCGGTGGTTTTCGCGCCAAATTTCTAAAACAATCAACTGATAATCGAGGGCGGTACAATACCCCAGCAGGGGCTCCTAAGGCGGAGAGGCCAAAGAATTGAAACGTAATCGATTGTAATAAATAATATACAACACTGCTGATAAAAGGGCACGTCCGTGTTTTTAACAGGTCTGTATCCTTTTGAGCTGCAAGGGGAAACATTTCTGATAGAGAAGGTTGAGCGCTGTCTATATTACTGGTGGTAGACGACGCTTAATTTGCTGTGACAGGTCTTTTTTGCAAACTATCCAGCCGGTGAGTAATGGTAAACAACAATCATAAACACATAAATGCTTAAATGAAGGTTCAAAATAACCCATACCTTAATATTTATATCATTTTCTTAACGCTGTGCATTGGGGTACAAAATACAGCCTCAGAAAGATAAAAAAAAAATCCGAAAAAAGGCAGCAACAACCTTAGAAAAAACAGGACGAGAAAAGTTGGACAAGATTAAAACGATTGCAAATTGATATTGACCTCGAAAATTTTTATTTTAGAGTTTACAATTTGCCCAAATCATACCGCAGAATACCAAGGTCAACCTTTGATATAATTTGTCTATTTTAATTCAGAAAGGGCGTTGTTGCCCACATTCAAACTATTAAAAGGTGGAGATCAAATGTCTTTTTCCTCGACAATTTGATATCTTCGCCCTGGAAACTTCAATTCATCGGCACTTTCTCAATTTTCTATAGAAATGACTCAGCATTTAGAGAAAAAAGGTTGAGTATAAACGTAAGTAGATTGACTTGCAAATGTAGTCACGAAATATCGACTCTGGTCTCCTAGGTTACCAAAACAAAGCTAAAAAACGAGTAAAGTCATTCGTTTAAACAATAACTTCCAATTAACCATCGGAAAATTTTCAATTCATCACTTTTCAAAACAAAATGTTGTACTGAAAACAAAGTCCCTGAAAACATCACTGAATTCTGACAAAAAGGCAGTAAGTCTGCGTAGTCTGTTTTCTGTAAGAATTTCCTTTTCATCGGCCCCCTAGCATGGATAATCAAACTAAAGAAATGACCGTAACGAGCTCCGGTAACCGTATTCCCTTCGATCTCCTGTTTTTTTTTTCCCCTTCTCTGGAAAAATCACGATAAGGGATTTGGTACTAAAATTTTAACCGGGCGCTACAAACCAAAAATGGAATTTATGAAGCGACGAAAATGTCAGTTTACAAGATGCTTCATAGTAACAAAAACTCTTAAACAAAATGTTAATGTATAGGGGACTTGGTGTTGAATTTCAAACTGCTGTTACCAAATAGAAACAAACCATATGAAACGAATATGAATTTTGAAAATTATAATGTTCAGTCGCCAGGATATTCACAACCGCAAAGACCCTTTTGTCAAAAACCGCAGGGTGACCTGTCACGCAATAGGAGTTACATTCTCAAAATTGAATTTGTTCAAGAAAGTTTGTCGGAACGTCCCCAGAAAACCTGCCCTACTTTATGAATGTTCTCAGATGTGAGATTATGTGGAAATTGCGTGCTTTATTGCAGCAAAATCTGTCAAAATAGGGCTCTCAGGAGAGAGAAAAAAGAAAAAGAAACAGAAAACATATCCACTTTCAGTTTTGTGAGGCAAAGATTTTTCTCTAACAAGTTTGTAATCAGGTATAAAATGAAAACGGGCAAGAGATGAAAAAAAAAAAGAAGAAATTAAAGGTTTCAATCGTCAAGATGATAGGGGCATTTCTTCGCCTACATTCCAATAAAAAAAAATAAGAATGAGGCTCGATTTAAGTTTAACGGGATAAGGCCCTTGATCAAAAGAAAAGCAAGTCAAACGGTGACAGTTTTAAGTACCGAAGCGCCAGTATGTCTCGCGCGCACACGGGAAGAACAAACAAGGGGGTTATTTCAACGATTAAACGACAAGTTGATCCCTGATCTCGCTAACAGCACGTTTCCTTTTATTGTTTAGCATAGCATTGTTGTCATATTCGCTGTTGAAATAGCTCCCGCAATTGTTCAAAGACCGCATTTGGCCCTACTTGAACCCGGCCTGTCATGACATGTGTGGATAAATAAAGATATTGTCATCATTGAGCTTGTATATAAGGTACTTATCGACCGCACAAATGTCCAATGGCAGAGCGATTTCCCAGACCCAAGGGGATCAGAAGGACTTACAAAGGCGCAAACTTCCCGCAAAGATCTAATGGGGCTAACTATTGAGAAATAAGAGAATGACAAGACGGTAAATAGGTCTTTTGTCTTGTGATCGCCTCTGGGTACTGATTCTCGTTTAAACATAAATGTCCCTTCCTAATGGCTCGTTCTATTCAACGAAAAGGTGGTATGATCCACACGCAGTCACGTTCATCTTTGACACTGAATGAGGCATCAAAATGATCGGATGTTCTACGCCAGAAAAAAAAAAAAAAAAAAAAAAAAAACCGGAAAAGAAAATTGTTTTGGAAGTAAAGGCACCGTCTTTTAGAATCGGTTAGTAAAAAAATCGTTTTGAAAACTTGCGTGCATAGCTTCTTCAAAATTGGACAAACAGGGTTTTACGACTTAGCTACATTATTAAGGGAAAGACATTACGGAAACATGCTATTTCTTTCCCTTAAAAAAAATTGGTGCGTGTTTCAAATGAACCTTAAACCTTTTGATAACGCCGGATAGTGCATTCACCCGACAAAAACCGTGTGTTTCAAAAATGCATAATTTATTCCTGCCATCTGCCTATGAAACACTAAACACCGCCACAGATTTGCCTGCCTCCTAGAACCCAGGAGATTACGATGACTTGTTATTAAAATCTATTATTAGAGAAATTTCCGATGCACTATTTAGTGCGATTTGCCCCTCTTTCGGTGGTCGTGTTTTCATAATTGTTTAAATTAGTTTGCAAATCGAGTGGCCCTTCGATCCGATCAGGAAGCGAGACCAAATGAAAGCTTATCTTACCCTCGCCATAATGTCTGATAGGGCATGCTGGATAACGAATATTTTCCGGTAAACTTACGTATTGTTTAGGTCAGGGGGTATCGGGGCTTTGCCCAAACTAATTAGCAACTCGCGAATATTGTTTCACCGGCAACTAAACTCGAAATCCTCCCAAAACAAAAATCATTCCTGAGGGAAATAAATCATGTATATTTTTGCTGCGCAAGATTGACGGGCAAGCTAACTGGGACCGGAACTCAATTTTCATACCCATATATACAAGCTAACAAAACCTTCGCCAGCGTGTTATACACCTCTTGTTTCTTTTGCCCACACGGCGAAATATAAATATAGTGTCAATCCAGGGGTAGGCACTAAAAATAATTAGTTGCCACAAGCAAAAGCCAAGATAAACAGACTTGGAAAAACTGAGGACATTAGGTGACCCCTTCAGCTGTTACCAACGCCGAAAGAAATCCAGATTATACCGAAGTATCTGACCTGAGCTGACTTGCGCGCTAAACTATTGTAAGTAGATTAAAAATTTTACTTAGTCTTTCATTCGAAGAACTTTCACATCACCGCCTAAAATTTTTAGCATTTTTAACGCTACGGTAAAAATAATTTCAGAGAGTGCAGTTTATAAGAGTCTTTTGGAAGAAATTTTGCATGAAACTCAAACGAAATCTTTACAAATGTCTGGCTTGTTGTATTTCCTTTTTAGGTACGTATATACTTGATGTGCTTACTTAAGTGTTCGAAATCTCAGGCGTGACACAATCGTTAATTAACTGTAAAACAGCTTTCAAGTTTAGCTCAATATATGAAAAGTTTCCAAGCCATCCCATGAGAGCATCCAGTTTAAAAGTATCTAAAAGGCCCCCGATTCAAGTTGATAAAACAGCAATTTAGTTTCAAGCACGAAACCTGAACTTATGAAATTTGGTCTCAGTTACTGAAGGTAAGCAACGCGTAAAAACCAGTTTATGTACCCTGTAGCCATCGAAAAGTTACATGACGCAAAGGCATTGTACAAGATTTAAGATTTAAGTTAAGACGTGTGTGTTTGCTGTTTGTTAGTGATCGAGAAAAGGCACTGAAATTAAACTACAAATGATGAAATCCTCGCGGAATAAAAGCGAAATTGAGATTGTCTGCTCTCTTTTCAAACATTCAACACAAACTTGTCCGCACAGAATTCCTGAGAAAATCAGTCTAGCCGAGTTACGTTTGCGGAAATGTACGGTGTTGAAGATTTATTTCTCACGTACGCGATTTAAGTCTGAGCCATATAACCGACGAATGTAACAAACTGGCAATAAGGTTTCGAAAATGAAAGAAATATTTTACTTACTTCCTAAAGTTCTTTTCGTCGAAACTTAGGCGTTACAAATAGCTTATGGAGTGTATTACATACTTGAAAGTTCTTCGAGATTCATTATGTCAGATTTTCCATTTGCAGTCTCGTTAAGTATTGAAATATCAGTAAAAATACCAACTTGTAGTTCTAAAGCACGTCCGGAAACCCTAACTTATGTTCAAGCTGTTTAGTGAAGACACTGAAGTACAGACACTTTTCTTTCGCCCTTGAAAAACGCACGGAATTTGATTTCAACGCCACAACGACGATATTGGGTGATCCAAGAGCCTATTAATTCTACAAACCAACTAAACGCTAAATAAAGATCTCGCAGTCGCTGACTTAAAACATAAAAGGACCGCTTAAATCTCTAGCAATTTCTGGGCGCCCCAAAGGACTTTTAAAAGGGGATTATCATTTCAAAATGAATAGAACTTGGACGTACATTGTACCTGCTGATCAGCGCTTGGTGGTTGAAATCTTATGAGGAAGCGAAGACTAGCTTTTTTTAATTTTTTTTTTTTAACTCAACTAATTATCATTTCGAAAACACAAGATACGCTATTCACAGGAGGCCAATACCCTAGCCATCAGTTGATCGACTATCCATGGATTCTCAAAATACTGCAAATTCAACATTACCCCCAATCTTCAGACCTCCATTGTCGCCGGCGACAGAATGTCGCCAAATCACAAAACACCCCCGCTCCCCACAACGACTAATCGGTCTGTCATAAGCCCTTGCAGACAGCTTGTCGGCCGGCTTCCGGCGGCCAAACTCGTCGATTTCGTTCGATTTCGCGTCGAAACCTTGCCGATATTCGCGTCTTTTTGTCAAGTGGGTCCAAAATCATCAACTCGCATCGATACCACAGCAGCGTTAAGACGTCAAACCCGCGATTCCGCCTCTGGTAAACAAATATGGGCTTAAAACACCAGGTTATTAAAATTTGAAATGCATATGCCGGGTTCATTGTGAACTGGCGCCAGTGAGCCGTCCATAAAAACACGCCACTACTCTCCCGGGGCGACTAAATGGAACGAATTTCAACGAAGTTGTCACACAATAGACTCTCGCTGGCACTAATTCCCTGATATCAACAAATTCCCCACTAGGACTACTATGTTTATGAACTTATCTAGGCCTAAATACTGTCTCTTTTGATATATCGTCTTCTGCCGCCGTGGAGGTTGAATAGTCGCCTCTGAGTCTTGACCAACAGGGTTTTCGTTTAATCGCTACACTCAAGTGACGTAACGTCCGCAATGTAAATTTCTATTAATTTAATTATACGTTTAATAATAGAGATGTGTCAATCAACACACTCAGGGCCTACACGTGCCAGGGGTTCGTAGACAGCCTGTCGCCAGTTCCAGCGGTTTATCTGCCACTCATGGCCAAACGGGAGCCATACCAAACCCTAAGTAAACTATGTGGCCTTTGGAAATGTCACTCGATTTGACATACAAAGCGATCGATCCTTGATGCGGGGTTAAAATAGCCTCAAACAGTCGTTAAAATCGCAGAACCTTCTTCCCCCCTACCTGAACACGAAAGAACACAAACACCGTAAAACAGTGCCACTAGAAAAGTCCCTGGGGAGAGAACCTGTTTCCAGCTGCCAATTAGGGTGAGGAGAGTCGAGCTGTTGATCAGAGCGCGACCGCTAAGCTTCAATACAGCTTTACGCCGGTTAAGTTCTACATTATCACTCAAGATCGCTTTGTTTTCTCCTAGCAGATTATTCCAAGCCCACAGAGAGAGCTCGCAAAACAACGCTGGCTGCTAGCGGATGCCGAAATTTTCATTTTGACAACGTGAATTATCTTGCATCTCATTGTAAAAACCAGAGGGGTTCGACGTGGGGAGTCTGTTCTTCAGAAAACTTGTGATTGTGTTTATAGTGGAATTGCCGGCGCATGCGATAGACTGCGTTCATTTGGTCTGATGGCTACACAACGCAAACGTCCGAGGACGGCTTCTCTGAGTCGGGAACCGACAAAATTTCAAAAACTTCACAGTGAAATACAGCAAAGTCAGCCTTTATCTCTGTTGGATTTAAGCGCTCAATGTGTGGCAGCAAATATTCCTTTCCAACACGTAGAGGAACAAGGAACTCCGATACCTGAGCCCGTACAACTCAAAGTGGTCTACTGGTCTTTCCCAAGAAATGAGCGAGACATTTGCATGTACTCGTCTCTTCATGCCACAGTTTCTCAGAACGATACAAAAAGGCTGCCATTTCAGAGAGGTCTGGCTCTTCTTGAAGAAAATGCTGTCAGAAATGTTTTGCAAGTCGGTAAGTGAATTTTTAAAGTTTGGCGACATAGAACCGGTTTTCTAAGGTATACAACTGACCTGAACAAACGCAAAATTAAGCGAGAAGAAAAATCTACTTTCTTACAGGATCGTCAGAAGGCTATAAAATTTCAAATTTGCCGAAGTCATGACGTTTTCAAGCATTTTCATGGAAAATTGTATGCATTCGTGCTTAATTTGGTATGTTTTTTCACCCTCCTGAGCGCTAGCGCCAGTCAGTCTACCTTCAATTGTGATGAGAATAGTAAGGATCTTTAGAGAGCCGCTATCAGTTTAGCTTATTGTTTACCTCCAAGGTAACCCCACAAAATTCCGCGTTAAGGGAATTTCTTGTTATCGGTTTTCGAAATCGAAGCTTTGCCAGGGATTATTTTATTTAGATTCCTGAAGGTCTACCGGTTAATTCTGTGGGCAGCGCGTGATTTTTCAAAGTACAAGAGTTTGTTTATTGGCGTAAAAAATTCATCTCTACTCGCGCGTGTGACACGAATGAAAATTTGGTGTCAATTCGACCAGTGACCGTAGAACTTGGCTTAAATTGTTACATTCGCTCGTGATTTTGATGAACTTTAGTTCTTCTGTTACAATTTTCGAAGCGCGACTCGCTTTCTTGTAAAAAAGCCGAACTAATTTTAACCCAAGTGAAAATTTGTTGAATGTATTAAGACGCTCTTAAATCCCAAACTCCTCTTGATACTAAAGAAGGTGCCTTAAAAAAAATCTGTATTTTAGCGACACCTCTTCTATGGTTCAAAGCGTTACAACTCTGTCTAATTTGCATGGTTTTTTAATTCGCAGAGATAGTGAGTCGGGTATATCCGCAAGGCTGCTTGGATTAAGGCAAAAGCCCCCAGCTAAGAATGAATTTCTCATCAAAGCTCAACCGAGAAGTTTTTGCTTAAGCAAACAAAGTTACCTTTGCAAACTGCTGATATTAACAAACTAAGACTTTCAGTTTTTTTCCCTCTGTTTCTCTGCCAGGAAATAAGTCGTAATTTAAGTTGGTCCCTTAAAGCATCGCTATAAACTTTACGCACAGGTTCCTACTAGCAACATATTACTATCCCAAACCATTCAGGGCGACGCGAGCACTAAGCTCGTAATTTTGTTTCACTGTTCATATATCTATTACTTTGTGGAAATTTCGTTGTCTATAACCCTAGGAAGATGATTTTCATTTTGGAAAGTCTAAACTTCCTTTCATGGAAGCTTGGAAAATTTTACCATAAACTGAGTACCGCTCAGTTTAATTTGTTTGAAAAAAGCGTCGCTAAAATTGTACCTTTCGCTTCAAGTTCACCAGAATTTCGATATTTTTTACTACATGAACTAAAACTACGTTTGTTTATTTGTTTTAAACACAAAGAGGATATATGGAAATCTGTCGAGAAGCTCTTCACCTCTGTGGAGTTGCTCCTTTGCTTTCGTTTTTAAAAAAGCTCTATCCGAAGAAGATCTATTAGAAAAGTGCTTATTTTAATCTTAAAGCCGTAAAAGAACAACAGTTCGATTTTGCAACTGTCGCAGAGTTAAATAATCCGAGAAGTTAGTCACCAGTGCGGCTTATTTCTCTCTCAAGTTGGCTCAGTTATTACGGCAATTGGTTTCTCTTTTCATGGTTAATGTTTTAACGTGAGTAAGTGAGCCACATTTTCCAACATTTCTAGTTTTCATCAGTGACATTTAGTCTTAGTCGAAAAGGATGGGAAATATACCGAAGGAAACGCCCTATGTGAAACACGAGAAGGACAAACTCTTGGTCTGGGCGGGCACGCGTGCAAAAGGAATTCATTCGACGATTCATTTCAGGAAATTAAATAAGTGCAAAAAAACAAACCAGAATCGCAACCAAGATTCTCAGTTTCTTAAGTATTTCGTTGAAGACAGCATAAAGAAAATGATTTTTCTCTTTTAATAGATTTAAATTGGATAGTGCTTCTTTAAAGCGAATTTTTGAAGAAGTATTAGACTTGTTTGAATCTAACAAGATAAAGTCTTTGCAACTCGGAATCTTCCCCTGCGTGGTTTTGAGCTCATTTCAACCACACACTTTTTATTAATTGACTAAAGGGAAGTTCTTTCCAAGGTTTTCGTCTTCCCGGGAGCAGAGCTTTTAATGCGCTTTCTCGATCAAAGGTTAAAAAAACGCGGATTTGAAGCCTGCTAACGCGGGGAAATGAAACAGAAAACCATGTCTTTGTGAGTGAAGTTTATTAACGTGAAAGATCAAGTTAAAAGGTCATTAGTCCAAAGTATCATACGCTTTTGTTGCACATCAGTGTTTGTGAACCACCGGACGAAAAAAAAAAATCAGCAGTAAGCTGTAAAAGATATATTTCATTTGAATCACTCAACACTATGGTTTCACGGCTTGAGGCGAAAATTGCGGTGGAGACGGTTTACCTTCTGGTCTAAGGCGCTTAAAAGATGGCTGGAATGAAAATGAAGTCTTTCAGTGGATTAATCATATTATAATTGCATTCTGTTAGAACAAAGAGACGCGAAATATGTCAAAGAAACAATTACACCAGACAAACAATAGACAATTTGTATCGCTATAGAAAATAGGTCTGCCCCAAGTAAAACCAATATTTTTCATTACGAAAGCTTTCTCAGGAGTTGAAATTGACTCGCGTGTTGTTCTTTTGCTTCAGGTTTTCAGCTGAGTGGAAAAGTCTTTGAGGAGGAAAATACCAAGTATGGCGCACAGAAAGAAGAATATAGTGTTTCAGTTGGTTTCGATAGATGTAAGATAAACGAAGTATCCTGCACTTGTGGTAACAAAGACATTCTCTGGTGCCCTCACGTCGTTGCACTTGCGCTGTACAGAATTCGCAACCCAGAAAAAGTCACTTTACGGGTACCAATTTCAGAGACATTACTTCAAATGAATCGCGAACAACTTCAGAAACTCTTACAATACCTTATAACAGAGCATCACACCGAAGTTTTGCCAACTGCTCAGCGATTGGCCGATGAGATCTTGCTCAAAACTTCGGAGATAAACCGCTTACCAGGCGCTCCTGATCCAACCGCTGGCGCTGGAGCTGATGATGAAAGCTGCTGGCATTTGGATGCAGAACAAGTTAGGCAACAAGTTAGGAATTATTTGTCTCAAGGAGGGTATTATGGAAGCGGAAAACACCTCCTATCGATGTTTGCTAAGGTAGGAAACAGTCCTGATTGTTTCACTGAACATGTATACCATTAAATGAAAACACACACAAATAAACGTAGAATACTAATCAAGCCAAAAGCAACAAAAACATCTGCTGAAGTCGCAGCTCAGTTACTATATTCTGTCTTTGCCCTTAACAACCTTTTCCTCTCATTTTCAACGCCTAAACACTGCAAAAGTTTTGAATCATTGGGCATGAATATTTGCTAACGAAAACCACTAATACCCCACAGGTACGAGAAATGCTTCGTGTCCATGACAATAATGGCTCACGTATGCTCAGACTCATCACAGAGCAGTTTTTAGCTGACCCTAGACTCCAAATATGGAAAGAACAAGGCACCTCGATGAATGACAAGTGTCGCCAGTTATGGGATCAGCTCGGTGCATTGTGGGTGTGCGTAGTGTTGAACCCAGACAGCACTCGTGCAGAGAAAGCTGCGTGGAAACAACAACTAGAAACCTGGAGTCGACAAGAAGTTTGCCCGTTGGAAAACCCAGATGCTCAAGGCGCTGATGAGATGGACAGCGTGTCCGATGAAACGTGTACGCACCGTACCGTGTTTTCTAGAGCAATGCACGCTTGTGACTTGGACTGGGAAGACCATACTTTAAGATGTATCATTGGACGTGAAAATCAAGACAAAGTCAACAAATGTTCAACATGGAAAGGTGAGCGTTTTTTTTTTTTAATAAGTTATAAATTCAAGTGTAAGACTAGAAAAGTAACAGAAGAAAAGCATCGCTTTTCATTCACCTCCTAAAAGTTAGCACCATCTAGTTCAGCAGACTGAATATATTGCTACATCAGTGTTGTGCCCATTATATTTCATTCGTTAATGGATCGTAAATCTTGGAATTTGTAATGTACACCTCGATGTAAAACTTACAAATCTTTGTTTTTCTGTGTCAATAGAGGACGTTCCCATGGCAGCCGCTCGCGTGGATGCCTTACGAGCGCATGGTTATCCTCAAGAAGCCTTACAATTGGCTGTCGCGGTAGCGCGTGGTATGAAAGAGGAGCAATTGGAAAAAGTTTACGAAATGGAAGCTTTGTTAGAGAAGTTTACCGAGGACGACATTGCGGAGAAACTTTGCGAAGAAAGTACAGAAAAAGATGGATTTATAGAGGGATGGATTGGACATCAGCTCGATCCAATTGTTGTCCTGTATGACACTCTCACCGAGGAAGCCATTGGGTCTCAAGAAGGTGAATCAGAGTTCAACAACAGCACAGAATTTAATGATGTTAAAAACGTCACTAACATTCCACTTCCAGAATGTGGAAACGGAAATGACACCTTCTTAACATTAGCTCTTGAAGTGGCCCTTATGGGGCTAGGACAGCAGCGATCTATCCCCGTGGGATTCTACGCGCAGGACAAAGCTTGTCGCCAAGAGGAGCATCTGATCGCGCAGCTGAATCTTCTAAACTTTGACAATGTTCTGTACCCTGTCCTCAAAACGCAAACTGAACTTTTATTGAAGAGTGGGCCATTCAGTAGCCTGGGACTTGGAGTGCAGAAAAACTGCATTCCCATGCACACTTTTGCGCGATTTTTATTCAGCAACTTGATGCAGAAGGATTTACATCTTGCCTTTGAGCTTGGCCTCCGTGCAATGCGTTTCTTGGGGCTGGATGACTTCCCAGGGGACATTGCGGACGAGGAGATACCCCTGGTGGGTCCTACAAGGTCCACTCGATTGTACACTCTAGGACATTTGCAGTCCCAGCAATGTGAGCTAGCATCGCGCCTGCTCCATGCTGCTAAGGACTCTTCTGAACGTCTGCCGGCCATTCTACAAGCGTCACAACTGCACGTACACTCTGCAACTCAGCTATTTCGTCTGGCGCAAGACGCTTTCAAACTGTCCACCGATCAGGCAGCAGAAACACACGACCGTGAAATGCTTCACTTTGCAATGGAACTGGGTCTTAAAGTGCTACGGATGACGCTGCACGCTCACAATTGGAGGAGGCGTGACATAGTGCAGTGGGTCATAGAATGCGCCGTAGAATCTGGCACATCTGCCCTCAGCCACATCATGAAGAACTGGAGCACACTGTTCACTCCAACAGAAGCCACGTCTCAGGTAGCCACTGCTGTCATGGCACCTTCAACGGCGGCGCGTCTTGAGCTAACAATAATTGAGAAGGAAGCACTCATGTGTTGTGCTCGAGCCTTGGCTCTGCAGTGCGCCAGTCGAGACCCACAGCACTGCTGCCTCTCCACGTTAACGCTCTGCGAGAAGAACGCTGCTGCCTTTGAGACAGCTTATCGCTTGGTTGTAGAGTCGGCCGCCTTGATTCCACCAACACAACTCTTCGCCATTGCACGCTACATGGACTACCGCGGCTATCCTCAGAGAGCTTTCAAACTCGCCACTCTTGCCATGAAACACTTCACCCTCGCTTACAACCAAGACAGTCACCCATCTATCGGAGATATTCACTGGGCATGCGCTCTGTCCCAAGCACTTGGCTACAACGAACTCACCCAGATTATTCCACTCATCGTCAAAGCAGTACACTGTCCAACGGTGCTGTCAGATTTGCTCTTCCGATGCACCCTTGCAAAGGCTGCCGTGGAAGAGGCCCAGAATGGGCAATTCTACTTCAAGGACAATAGCAGAGTGACTTGCGAGGAGGAGCCTTTGAGGCAGCTCATGGAGGCCACCATTAGCGCATATGTGAACACTGCACATAGCAGACTGAACCACATAAGTCCTAAGCATTATATGGACTTCATCACATTCCTCAGCAAAGCACAGGAAACTTTTCTCTTAGCTTCTGACGGAAATGGACGCTTCAATGCACTCATAAACAATATGAAAGTTCTGTACAAAGGAAAGAAAAAGCTAATGCAGCTAGTCAAAGAAACATTCGGTTAATTTCACACGGAACAAAGTTTGAAATATTATAAATTATTTATGAAATGAACAGAGAATTTGAGCTTTAAGAAATGAGACATTATCCCGTTTTGATAGGCGACGACGAAACAAAATTGTACATTAACACGTTAGAATCTATTAACTTTTCCTCCTTCGCTTCATTTCGCCTATAAACTTGAAACAGAGAAAAGAAAATGTTATTTGGGTTGGCTGTTTACCGTTTTAGCTAAGCAGTGTAACCTTAAGGTGTTAAAATTAAACGTGTTTTACAAAATTGATTCCAATGTTTTTCAAGTTGTTTGTTTCTTTCTTTTCCGTACACTGCGTCTTTCATTCCTTAATGATGCACGATATTGGTGACTTATTACAGTCGAGTGCAATTACTATATTGTGCTGAAACAAACACCAGAGCACCAAGGATTCCCGAAAATAATTTCCCCGATTTAATTCTACGCCACGAAGAAACCCAAGGATTTGATGAGCCCTTCCTTTTCCACGAAATACGAACTCCAGTGGCCTTACGTTACCCCAAACCACGCTTGTTGATTACAATTCAAGAGTTGAAACGGGAAGTATTCCTATGGGAACCGGACAATATTTTCAAAACAAATCCCTATATTTGAGTGCAATATTGTGACACAAAATACTGACCGCAATGAGAGCGTGCCTACAAAAAACAGCTATTCGTGAAAAAATGAATCGCGAGTAATTTTTTGGTAACATAGCGATGGTGGCTTTAACAGCGAAAGACAACAGTAGGTGGACAAATTTGGCTATATCGGGCGTCTCTGAAGACGAAAATAGCGCTATTTAACCGCATGGCGAACTGTGTGACGACCCAACAGTCACGCACTACTTCTATGACACAAAGCAGAAAGTGGGAACGGTAACAAAGCTGCTCTCTGCCATACACGACTGGCTGGCTTTTAGGCTCGATTACCGGCCGCTGTTCGGAAAATGAGCCTGCGCTCATCCCCGAAGACCTTCTCAGGGGTGAAGACTAGACTCCAGTCAACGGCGAAAAACTGGCCTGCAGGGCTTCTTACCGAACTAAATCTTCCAAGTGATAGAATACACAGTCGAAGAGAGACGAAACTTCTAGGCTGAAGTACTCCCATAAGTACGAGAAGTGAAAATATATGAGGCATGCATAGGAACAACAAATACTTCCTCCTTCTCTATTCCGTCCATGACTGTAAATACATGTCCCCAAGTGCGCCTTGGGTCAAATGGGAATAGATGACGAAAAACAATAGGAAAAGAAAAAATAGGGAATATACCTTTGCTTTCGTGTTATTTACTTTTTATTAATAAAACAACACTGCTAACATTCCGCCACTTGCTGTACACATTACAGTCGCAATATCTAATGATATTTAAAATTCTCCTCGAGGTAGCCTTACATCAATGACGAAACCTTTCGAAGGCCAACCGCTAGCCTTCAGATTCCTTCGACTTCACTTGCCATAACTTGCCGTCACTCGCATTCATTCGGCGTCACTCGGCATCCTTGGCTCTTCTCCATCTCAAATGAACTTGATAACTATAACAGTTTTGAGCAGCTTTCATGGGAAATGTCTTGAAGTTTTAAAAATAACTCCATCCAGTAATGGGAAAATTAAAGACTTAGATCGAGAGCACCATTCCAAGTTCAACAACACCAAACAGAATCAACGAATCGGATACCGAGGCACCGAGGCACCGAGACGAATGACCCGATACTCTTCGGGATAGATGACTCTACGCAACGTGACGCAACGAGATGACGACTTACTCTCGGCCCAACTTTGAAAGAGATCGCTTATTTTCCGATTGGAAAATAGGAATTGGACTGTCGTCGGTTTTTTAACGAACAAATATCGACTGTGTGCAATTGTTACTTGACTGAACAAATAAAATGAAAAAAATTAACTTAAGGTTACACGAAGCTTTGTCCATACCAATCCTTGGTTATGTCTGATGGGTAGGGTAACTTGAATGTGATTTTGTAGACTTTTTTATTTACATTACACGACGAGCCTGTAGGTTATGTAACGACCAGCGGTCTCACTAGGGCGAATAATCTTTACAACCTGTAACATAAGAAATACACGAGTCAGGAGAGGTTATCACAGTTAAACATAGAAAAAGAAAAGGAAATCTTCTATTGAAACAAAGAGGAGTTAATAAGAGAGAAAAGGACTCTGTGGAGAAATCACCTGAAGCTCGGTTATTGGAGAGGATCGAAATCGAAAGAGCGGACGAGCTAAACAGGGCGAAGTTGGAAAAACGGCGACATCTCTCTTCGTTTCCACGATTTAAATATTTTCCATCATCCTGTTTGTCGATCGTCTCTTTGACCACGTTAAAAACCTAGCACAGGCAGGAGCCCTTAATCCGCATGGGCTTCCGGTATAGACTACAATATTTAAAAACTAATTATCCCTGAACCGTTCTCGGCAACATAAGAAGACACGTGTATGAACTTTCGGAGAGAGTTCGCAATTGCATGTGATTGGTTCGCAAGTTATCGAACTTTTAGGGCTGGCCCACCGTAAATTTACGAACGCAAATACCTATTTAGCGCTTCTTTCCCGTCATCAAATCCTCTCCAGGTAAACAAATTTCCCAAACAAAGCATTTTTTTTACGCGATCAACTAAAAAAAGTTATCATGCGTTAAAGTAAATCGGACAAAGAAAACTAGTGTCCAGCTCACCTGTCCTCTTTTGAGTCCAAAATACCGCGCAACGGGATCGCCAGACTGGATACGAGGAAGTTGATGCTCCTTGAGTTTGCTACAAGTATTGTTAAGGGTATGCAGCCCAAAGAAAAACTCAAACAGACAAAAACAGAAACGATAATCGAAACAGTTTTACTCGAGGTGTTTTGTGATAATTTACAAATTCAGATAACATAGCTCGTACACTGGCCACAATTACGCACTACTCCTTTACAATACAACGGCTCTTTAGTAAAGGATACTATCTCTGAAGGAGCTCTGCCTTTTCCTCCGGTGTCATGAGGACATGTTCTGGAACAAGCTAAAAGGAAAAAAAGGGAGTAGCGTGGTCGGTTTTTTTAAGGTCATGTGGATTTCCCCCTGACCACTTTTACTCCATGGATCTAAATATCAATTTTTCTCGCTACCGGTATCTGCCTAAAATTTCTTACAAGTTTGGCTTTGAAATCATGGTGTTAGATAATAAAAAATATTCGTTGGTTGATACTAATTTTTTTTCCTACTCATAACTTCTAACTCAAAATTGCATCGATAGAATTCCAGAGTACACAGTTTTCTGAGGTTTTCACTAAAAAATTGCCAATACAAACTTTACGAAAAAAATTAGATTTGATACTAAGGACTCTGAATTGTGATTTTACGGACTCACCTCGTGTTCTGTAATGTTCACCATGAGCTCTGCCTCCATGAAATGCTCCAAGATGTATTTTGGTGCCAGGTCAACTAACGCCTTGCAAAACAAAATGGTGAAGTGTTAATACACTAAATGTACTTTGTTGCCAAAACAGTGTACAGTCAGGTTTAAATTTTTGCAGAACTTGCCTACTGCTCTTGATCTGCAACAATATGATATGGAAGTAACACAACAATGCAAAGCTATATGTGGGTAAACATGTGACATTGTAAACCAGCACTTTGTGCCCCAGGCGTTCCTTTTATTTAGGTTACTTTTGGGTCAGTTTCTGGTTTTGAAAAAGACAAAATTGTAACACTATAAGGTAACGGTTTAATCTGCACTTAATCTGCCAAGTGGCCAATCCAGCCAGGGTTTCTCCTGGTTAGCATACCATGAAACACAAGATTCTTAAAAGTCACTGAGTAGATGGCTAGCGGCATGGAGCAGACACCTGACAATTCAAGAGCTCCCTCCTTGGATCTCGGGGCATGCTCCCCCACAAAATACTATTTTTGAAATGTAGAAGTTCCAAAATGGCATTCTATGAATTACTTAGTGGTATATGCAAAGGTAGAGAATGGAATAGTGTTTAACCAACGAGTAAACGTAACAGCAAACAAGTTTGCATGTTTCTGCAGAATACAAAATTAGGTTTTCAAGAAAGTTGTCTATTCATGGAATTTTTTTTACATTTTTGCATTAGTGACTTGTTTAAATCTTCATTACACGTTTCTGTTCACAATTATTCAATAAGTGGCTAAGAAATCGAGGTAGCCAGTTTTTTTTTCACCTGGCAGCCAACACTTTACATAGAGTAACACTCATCTTTTGTTTTGTTATTGTTTTTTCTTCTTTTTTAAGGCAGCACCCTCACTCATCACTGTTTCTTATTCTTTAATGTCCAGTCATTTCTACTTTTCTAAAGCTATTTTATCTCCTACACTGCGTGAGGAACTCAGGTTTGATAAGCTACTAGCTTCTATTGGATTCCCTCACCAAATTATTCATAGCTGACTCTTAATTGCAATTTTACATACTGGTAGTTTCATTATAAATTGTTTTAAAAAATATATACTATTAACAATAAATTATTCTTTTCGATTGCTGTAAACAATTGTAATGTATTTTCAAGTGTATGTAAGTGGCAAAATGAACAATAAATCATACTAAAATAATTATTATAATTATAATAACCTGTTTAGCTGAAGGTGTCATACCCATCTGCACAACTATTATCGCTCTGTTTATGTTCTCCTCTTGCATTCTGTTACAATATCTGTCATGAAATTTGAAAAACGCTCCTCAGATATTTCAGTCTCCACACTGCTTATCAGGTAAAAGTTGTTACCTTGCTCTAACACCGAATTCTTGTGACTAATTTACAAGGAAATGTGTGGCAGCTAGAGAGGATAATTAACAATCAGATCTTGGAAGTTAAAGAGTTAAGTACCACACAATACTTGCTGTACTGTGGATTTAGTAAAACAGGTGTATAACATTTAAAGGAGTTTTTTTTTTTAAATCAGTTTAACCCAAACTTACTGTTTAATTGTTTTTATTCCAACTTTAGGTTCATCAGGAAAGAACACAAACATCTGATCTGTAAACGTAAGATTTGAGTTGCAAAAAAAATATTTTTAGAACTCAATGTAACAATCAATGAGATTTTCCTCTGAATAAATAACATTTTGTATTTGTGCACGATCCTGACAGTAAAGATTGTGCACAAAGACGTTTCTATAACCGCAGTTCAGATAATTTGAATTTCATATATTCGTTGTGTATAAATAACATTTCATTAGTTTATACTGCCAATATATTACCTGTTGGATCATCATTGTGAGCCACCAAAATTGACAAATCACTTCTTGAGGGCCTTCCTTCACTGAAAATTAAAAAGAAATACTTGATCATGTTAATGAAAGTAAATTGTATCAGCTAGAGCTTTTTGTGTTACAATCTTAATTCATTATCAGCATAGACAACCCTGACCTTAAAGGCAAACCCTATTCCCTACACTTGTCACAAGACAAACAAAAAGACAGCTTTCTCTATTCATTTATCAAGCTAGAAAATTCAAAATCACTATCTTTCTTTTCCTGTTTATACACTTGACACTTTTGATATATATCATCCAAGGTGTGTGCAGTACAAGTGTCACATATAAATCTCATAATGCTGCAACGTATGTGTAGACTGGAGTGCAGAATCCATAGGTATGAGGTTTAAATCCTTAAGAGAAATAAACCACCTTCCTCTATTTCTCTACCAAGCTCAAATATTTCCCTCCTTTTATTTTCATTTGTACACCTGCCCTTGATTGTACCTCTTCAATTACTTACCTTGGTCTGTCTCCAAACTGTTCCTTAAACTGATCCAGAGTCTGGTCCAATTCATCTTGTGTCACCAGGTAGCCTCTGTCATGACACATCTGAAGCCAGACAAAATGTTTCGATCAAGAAGCAGAATATGATAAGAGAGAACTTTTACAAATCTGCCTTTGTCATGGCAGTTACGAGGGCTTGATTTTGCAATGTCAGTAACTGTTATTAGAATAGTCCTTAAATATTTCAGTCTCCACAGTACCTATCAGACAAGTTATTACCGTGATCTGACACCAAATTTTTGTGACTAATTTACAAGGAAAGAGATGCAGCTAGAGGGGAGAATTAAAAATTCGATCTTGGAAATTAAAGGGTTAAGTACCAAACAACACTTTTTGTAAAACAGATGTATAACATCTTCTTTTTTTTTTTTATCACAATTTAATGGCAATGATGACAAATAAATAAATCTAAATGTACAAACAAACAAAGCCATAAGGATAATCTGTAAAAGGGTGGAGCACTCCATGCAAGACAGGTCACCGTGTAGCTAATCTGAATAAGTCAAATATAAAGACGACCAGAAAATTTTTAGAGAAAAAATAAAAACGTCAATGTCTCTTACTTAAAAACTTTTTCACTCTAGACTTGAAAACTGCAAAAACTAGGAGATAATCTAATATCTAAGGGTATCGAATTCCACATTTCAACAATTCTATTAAAATAAGTGGATTTAAAATTGGTTGTTCTCGCAAAATTCATCTTCGTCATGGCCGTTGTAAGGGCTTGAGTTTGCAATGTCAGTAACTCTTGTAAGCATAGTCAAAGACAATCCTAATTGTAAAAATATGACAGATCATTTTTTTCCTAGTGTGATTACAACATACGTCAATCATTATTTTGGGGATTCCATTTATTACGGTCATGATTTTGTAAAGTGTGCTACTTGTATTAGCTGGGCAATGGTGATAATAATAATAATAATAATAATAATAATAATAATAATAATAAACCGTTGGGTGTTTCTGGTGGCTCACAGAGTGGAAGAACTGCCCATCACACACAATTGCTGGACTCGTCGAGCTATAAGAGCAGCTATTGCCAACGCGAGTATACAAGAGTCAGAAGACCCACACAAGCGGGGAAGGCGAGGTGAGGTGCAGATTATGCGGCAAGGCTCTAGAGAGTGTGGCAAATATCTTGTCAGGATGCAGTGTGCTGACCCAGAGCAAGTATCTCTCTAGACATGACACAGCACTGAAGGTACTGTTTTACGAACTGTTGTATGATGAGGGATTTACAGACAAGATACCACCCTGGTGCTCACCCTACAAGCCGAAGCCCGTGTATGAGTCAGAGAATGTTAAAGCTTGTTGGGATGTCCCTATATATGCTGATCAACAAGAGGTCAGATGCAATAGGGTGGATGCATGCATTGTAAATCATATGTGCAAGAGAGTTGTGACGCTGGAAATGAGTTGCCTGTGGGTTAACAATCGGACAAGAAAGGTGGTGGGAGGCAGAAGCACAGACGTACTGCGAAAGATGCAGAGGGCAGTGCTCTCGGGCACGCTGAATATTGCCCAGACTTTCAAGGTGGCAGTTTGAATTCCTGTTAGAAGGAGGACCGTAGACACAACGGAAAAGCTTTTTAGGATTAGTTAATGTACATTTATTTTTTACTCCATGGCTCACACATAACGGTTTTCGCCCTGTGCTGCCTGATTTGAATGTAACATTCAGTTGATTTCTCTGCGACATAATAATAATAATAATAATAATAATAATAATAATAATAATAATAAGAGCACTACCCTCTGCATCTTTCACAGTATGTCTGTGCTTTTGCCTCCCACCAGCTCCCGCATCATGACATCCAGCTCCCGTGACCACCCCCCGAGGGCATCCATAATGATGTTATATTGCTTCACCTCGCAACCTGGGAACTGCTGCCTTAGTTCCCAGCAAAGGGGTCCATACTTCAGTGTCTTCTCTTCATCCTCTCTTGTCCAATTGTTAACCCAAGGGCAGCTCATTTCCAGCGTAACAACTCTCTTGCACATATGATTTACAATGCGTGCACTCAAACTCTCTTTTTAGGATTAGTTAATGTACATTTATTTTTTACTCCATGGCTCACAGGTTACAGTTTTCACCCTGTGCTGCCTGATTAGAATGTAGCACTCAGTAGATTTCTCTGCGATAATAATAATTACAACTGCCATCATGAAGATGAATTTTGTGAGAACAACTAATTTTAAATCCACTTATTTTAATAGAATTGTTGAAATGTGGAATTCGATACCCTTAGAGTAGCCAATATATCTGACACTAGTAAGTAAGTAAGTAAGTGAACTTTATTTAGCCAGGGTGGCCCATTCAGCAACGAGGCTGATATCCAGAGGGGCCCTGGAGTACACTGACATTACATCGGAAAGTGCGCAAGCCAGAATTTAAGTAGTCAATTTTTTATTATGTAGCTTAGTTTACTGAATTTTTCCTTTTTTTTTTTAGAGAACTGCTTTTTGTGAAATATTTTTAAGGAAAAATTTATTATTATTATTAAGGACGTCGATCATGTATCGTCAATTTATTTGCTCTTCTGCTGAATGAAGCTGAACCAAAATAATGCAGACATAAGATGAATTCTACTACTCTGTAGGAGTTATTAATACCGAAGAAATTCAAGACTTTTCTCTCAGCTAGACTTTTTAAACTTGTTTTAATATTTATACCTTATTTTGTCTTAATTTTGTTTGTTATCCTGTATTTTAAAAAATTAATATAATAATAATAATCATATAATAATAATAATAAAAATAATAATAATAATATTTAACAAGGGAGCCCAACTTGCCATGACGGTTTTCAGTGGGGCCCTCATTAACTAACTAATTAAATTAATTTAGCTAATTACCTTAATTGATAAAATAATAATAGTAATAATAATAATAATAATAAATAAATAAAATAAAATGTGTTTATAAGCAAATAACCAAAGCCCACCATGTTTTATAATATCAAATGGCTGATGAATGAGTCCTAAAACATACTGTACAGATGTACATGTATGTGTGTAACCTTACTTAATCTTCCATTTATAGCTGTATCTAGGCTGGTAACCGGTCAAGTCGCCCGAAGTCATGTTGCCTGGAACCAGAGTCATGTTGCCCGAAACTCCTAGTCATGTCCCCCAAACTTTTATCAAGAGTGTTTAAACTTAAAGAAAAGTAACATCTTAAGTAAATCGTAAGTAATACACTTGTAAAATGTTGACTCATAAACTGTTTTGGTCCACTTACCTACAAGAGACTCAAATACCGCTGTTCATTTCAGTGTTGTTCATTGCTCTGAAGTAAACTGCTCATTCTACTGTACAGATTCAACACTGTCAGTAAACTTTTCAGTAAAGAAAAGTAATATCTTGGGTAAATTGCAAGGAATAAAACTCACAAAATGTTGACTCACAGACTGTTTTCATCCCCTAACCTATGCAAACAAAAAGTTAAAGAAAGACTCAAATATTGCTGTTCATCAGTTGAGCTTTTGTTTGTTGCTATGAACCATACTGATTACTCTACAGCACAGATTCTAGTAATTATAAACGGAACACTTCAAGTTATTGGAATTTTTCACACATATCAGAAAAATACATCAAGTTCTCTTAGTTTGATTTATTGTATAAAAAAAACCCCATAACCTTTACAGTGGTTTTTTGTTGTTTGTTGTTAACCACGCGAACAAAGCGTGTTATCATCACTCCCCTTAGGATCAGACGCGGCATAAATTATCGCGACTTGTTCAGTCGTTCCTTGTTTCCTCAGTCGAATGTAAATTTAAGATCCGGTTTACCATATACAAAGAGAGTAAATTAATAACAGCCACCTCATTTCGACTTGTAAAATCATCCGCTAACCTATACAAATAAGAAGTTAAAGAAAGACGCACATATCGCTATTCTACAACACAGATTCCTGTAATTATAAGCGGAACACTTTAAATGATCAGAATTTTTCACATATATCAGAAAAATACATCAAGTTCTCTTAGTTTGAGTTTGCCGCAAGGTCACAATCTTGCTTGGCAACCATGTGATGATTCTTGAGCACGTGCTGTATTTAAGATGGCGGCGTTTTCCAATGTTCCAATCGTAGTGATGTGAACCTTTAGTGGAACACTTTCAATTATTAGAATTTTTCGCACATATCAGAAAATTACATCAAGTTCTGGTATGTCTCCTACCAACAGGGATTTTGAAGTGCTTAGTTAGTTTACATTGTGGTTGAAAAGCCCCTAAGGGGAAGCTTCAATTAACATATTTATTTATTCTCTTAGTTTGAGTTTCCTGCACAATCTTGCTTGGCAACAATGTACATGTGATGATTCTTGAGCATGTATTGTATTTAGGATGGCGGCGTTTTCCAATGTTCCAATCCCTGTGATGTGAACCTTCGTTCGAAACATAATTCTTCCACATGTAAAACAACAAAAGTGAGAACCATACTGTAACTGATATTACTATTTCGTGTTTTATTTTTAGGATTACTATCTCCGTGATATCAAACGACAGCGAAACGAACAACCAGCTGAGTTTCACGAGTCAACATTTTACGAGTTTATTTCTTGCCATTTACTTAAGATGTTACTTTTCTTCAAGTTTAAACACTCGATAAAATTTCGGGCGACATGACTTAGGATTTCGGGCGACATGACTATGAACTTCGGGCAACATGACTCTGGTTTCGGGCGACATGACTTCGGGCGAGATGACTTTCGGACGACTTGACCGTAAACCTCCAGGCTCTCTGCCTGAATTTAAATGATTGAGATTATCAAACTTGCTAAAAAATGGCTTGGTTTACTACACACAGGGTATATAGCAATGAAGAACTGTCTCCTTGACACTTTTCATTGGAAAACTTTGAAAGCCATTTCGTTATAAGTAAAGAATAACAATTTGTGGCACATGAGTCCACATTTTAAAGATCATGTTTGTATTTTCTTCCCGCACGTGGAAGAGATATAAACGAAACGGTTCTCGACACAGTTTTACAAGTATAAAAATTCCACGAAATACCTGCATGACCGTCTTACGGATTCTCCAAAATTTATATGTTAGCTCTGCATCATCCATCGCGTTAAAATAGGAGCTGTGTACTGTCAAAAGAATGTAACACTTCTCCAAACCTAGGTAACTCGTCGAATGAACAATGATCACCAGTTCGAAAACCAAACTTTCGTCGGGTGACGCTATATCGAAGGCGTTCGTCGAGGGTAAGAGTAAACAGTAATTTTGGTCAGCGGGCAAATTATGAAACCCGCGAGTACGAGTAATGCGAAATCCCGCGAAACATAGTTATGCGCGAAAGGATGACATTTAAAAACCGAAGACAATTTTTGACTAAGACACTAGTATGCGTTATGATGGCGACGACTCAGTAAATATATGAAAATAATATATGTTTACTGCGCTTTCATAAAATGTATGAAAGCGTTCTTCGCAGTAATAAACCCTACTTATCTAGTAGGTGGAAATAAGGCCTGAAAAAATTTTAGGTCCGTACGGGATTTGAACCTATGACCTCTGCGATACCGGGCAAACTTTAAAACACGTTCTCTAGTGATACCTGCGAAAGTATTCAGTATAATTTCCGGTAAGACTTTCGCGGACAATCTGATTGATTTCTCTTACATTGTGTGCTGAGACTGAAACTTTTCGCCTCAAGCAAACCTCCGTCGCACGGTCCAAACAAAAATAGCGAGCAACTGAACCACTAGTATATGTCCGTGTTAAAACACACGAAATGACTCTAAAGCACACCTCACTCTGATTGGGCAGAAAAACACAAAGATTTTCTGGCACCAATCAGATGGCAGAACGACTGCGACCGTTTGGAACTAGTCTTGTAAGACAATGTCCCCAGGGGCTCTTCATGCCCTAACTTGAAATCGACCCACAGCCCCTGGGTCTTCGAGGATGGGGTCCATTTTGACTTTGGCAACAGTACCACAAAGAATTGTGCTGTCAACAATCTGCAAACTACTGTGTGTTTTGAGACTTTGTAATTCAGTTTTATCTTTGTTGAATTTTATGACCAATTTATTTGCTTTCCCTAAGGGAGTTAAAAAATTAAATGAAGTGAGACTTCTTAGAAAAATTTGAATTCATCCCTGATAAAAAAAAGCTGTCCCTTGAAAGCTGTATGCCTTGGTTTTCCAAAATTTTTTCTTGAATGGATCATGTAGTATTTATTGTAAATTTTTTACAGTATTTAAAAAGTTGAAAGAAGGTTGAAAGCAGGTTTTGTTTTGTTTTTAGTGATCGCCTTCAGCAGCAAAGAGAGGAAGCATTAAGGGACTTCAGGGAAGGCCGCTGTCCTGTCCTCATCGCCACAAATGTCGCTGCCCGTGGCTTGGACATAGATGATGTCAAGCATGTTGTCAACTTTGACTTGCCAAATGAAATTGAGGAGTTTGTTCATAGAATTGGTAGAACAGGGCGTATAGGGCATGAAGGCAAGGCTACAACTTTCTTCCAGAAAGGAAAAGATGATAGGATTGCCAGGGCACTGGTGAAAATTTTGTCAGATGTAAGTACTGTCATTTGGTTCGTGTTTCATGAATCTGTTTTGTTTATTTGTGGTATGAGTAAGTTGTTTCACTTCATTTCTGTTGAGTGGGACTTGAAATCTAGCAGTACTGTGGAATGCAAATTTAATGATGGTACATCCATCTGAATGGTAAATAGCATCAACATCACATTCAGTGCATATTGTTGGTTACTTGGCTGCTTAGAATGCTTGTTGTTCTTCATTATCCAGCAGAAACTGGTCTTTTTTAGTCACCTGCACATCTCCCAGGCAAACTTTTTCAAGGCACCATTTTTTTTTTATTTTGAATAATCATCTTGTTGAATGTTGTAGTGTGTACAGTGTAGTACTCCAAGCTATCCTGTTGTAAGCATCTTGCAATTGAAGTGACATACAGTAATTCCGTGTTATGACCTAAACTGCGCTGTAAAATTGTCAGTTCTTCTGACTTGCATGTGTGCATTGTAGGCTTCACAAGAGGTGCCAGAGTGGTTGGAAGAGATTGCAGAGAGTGCAGTAGGCACAAGCTACGGCCCAGCAGGAGGTCGTTTTGCGTCCAGAGACACCAGGAAACAGGTACAGTAAATCATTTTCATAACTTCCCATTGTAGTCACCCTTTACCCCACAACATCGGTATGCATACATGTATTCATCATACTGCCTCTTGGTTAGCTCAATTGGTTAGAGCGCCAGATTGTGATGTGCGGGAGGTCAAGGGTTCGAGCCCCGGCCGGACCAATACTCATGGTGTTAAAATAAGCAAGGAGAATTTTCTACCCTTCTAGAATCAAGAAATGGATAGATATTCTAGTCTTCTCGGATAAGGATGAATAAACCGTAGGCCCTGTCTTCTGCAGGGTTAGGGGTAGGAGATGTTAATTTCCCACGCACGAGATTACTGTGTGGTGGATGTCCTCCCCTGGGTGGGTGTTGGCCCTGAAAAGCCCCTATGGGGAGTGGTCAGTTAATGTATGTATGTATGTATACTGTTCTATGCCCATTTGCTATGAGTTGGTGCTCATTATAGTATCGGAAAATCTGACGTACATTTAAATGATAGCAAATCTTGCCATCAAAAAAGATTGTGTGCAATGTTTGGAGTGATCATCAAGCACTTACCTTATCCATGTCACAGAATTTTTGTAAACTAAGAGAGATTTAAACCTAGGGTTATTTCAAGAACAAGAAGTACATTGTTGTTCACATTTTATCTCCCTAAAGCAATTATAAATCCTTTTATACCCAAGCGATGTCTTACAGTGACACGAACTCAACTGGGGCCTCCCAACATTTTTTAGCCAATCACAAGACAAGTTTAGAACAAAAAAATTGAAGTTCGTTCATCAGCGGATCAATCACCATAAGGGTCAAATTTCACTGTTCCTTTGACTAGATCAGATGTGAAGGTATGCGAAAGCTTATAGTTTTTTTAAAGCAAAAAAAATATATTTTTCATTTCTATTACGGTAAAGGTGAATAAATATTTACCGAATGGCAGCCGGTAATTTCGAATACTAAACTGACTAAAGTTAAATTTACCAAATTGCGGCCGACTCACTTTATACAATATATTTTCCGAAACACGGCCTGGAATGCCGAAGGCGAGAGCTTATGTAATTTATTGAATATTGGGGCCGCAAATTTTGAGCACGAAACGGGCTCGGTCAATGTAAATAAATATTAAATTACGGCCAGCTAAACCTCAAGGCGAAACGGGCTCAACTCAAGTTTATTTTTAAAATATCATTGAAAAACGGCCGTATCTACAATTAAAGATGAAATAAACAATTTTAAAAAATTGAGTTGCCAGATGGGTATCTACAATTTTACCGGGAATTTTAGTAACCAATCACAAGGACAAAGAAAAATTTCAAATTTAGTTTTTGCATGTATTACCGGTGGTTGATTCCGTTTGCGTTGTAGTTTGAAAGTCGGGAAGTATTTCAAACATTTACTGATTTGAGGTAAAACCGTTTCGTCTTCAAAATCTCAGGCCGTGTCAATTCCGCAAATACATTTGTATTGAGTCCATTTGGTCTTCAATATTCCCAGCCGCATTATTCCGTAAATTACATAAGCTTTCATCCTCGACATTCCAGACGGTGTTTCGAAATATATATTTCATAAGTTAACTCGTTCGTAATTTAGTAAATTTCTTTAAGTCTTATTCCTTTCAGTCTTCAAACTTCCCGGCCCAAAAATTCGGTAAGTTGTACAAGCTTTCTTCTTCAAAACTCCATACCCTATTTCAAAAAATTTTTGTTATAAAAGTTTACTCAGCCGTAATTTGGTAAATTTACGTTGAGTTCGTTCAGTCTTCAAAATTCCCGGCAGCAATACTCAGTAAATTATACAAGTTCTTGTCTCCGACATTTTAGACCGTGTTTCGAAAAATAAATTTCATTGGTTTACCCAGCATTATTCTTTACTTAAGTACATTGAGGCTGTTCCGTCTTCAAAATTACCGGCCGCTATTAGGTAAATATTTATTCGCTTTTACCGTAAACGAAATAAACATATTTATTTCACGGTTAAAAAAACTAGAAGCTTTTGCATGTCTTCACATCGACTCCAGTCAAAAGAGCAGTTTAATTTGACGGCTGGTGAACGAACTCCCATTCTTTTGTTCCATACTTGTCTTGTAATTGGCTAAAAAACGTTGGGTGGCACCGGTTGATTTCATTTCACTGTAAAACCTTTGATTTGATCTTTTTGGTAGTTTGGCAACAGCGATGGCTGGGGAGGAGTGTGGAATAGCGAGGAAGCCAACACTCAAACCAACAGTCAAATTAATGGCACTGCTGCCTGGTCTTCAGGTGGTGGTACGGACGAAGAAGTGTGGTGATTTCCTCATCTTCAGATGGTCGAATTTTTGGTTAATGTTCTGATTAATATCGGCAAATGGTATAAATAATAGTTTTATACCTTGTTTAGTTTGCTTCAGATTTGGATTGCAACGAGTTTATTGGATTGTATACATGAGCATTACTTTATCTTTGTGGGGTGTTACTATGATGGACTGGAATATTACCTTATTGACGACAGTTAAAAGATTTGGAACAAGACAATGGCAATGACTTTTGGTTCCACAGTGAACCAACATATGTGATGGAACAAGGTTCCTAGAGAAATATGACCACTGGATTCATCAGAGTTGGGCATCTTCAGTAGAGTTTAAACTACTCGTTTCTTATCTTGTGCAATCGTTTTGGAACAGAGTTGTTAACAGAGTTATTTCTTAGTGAAAAGTGATTTCACTTCATGAGAAGACTACATGTGGCTACTACTTGCTGCACTCTGTGATACATCTGTCTGTATTGAGTTCTGGTAGCAGTTTGTACAGAAGACTACTCAAAACAGATTTCACACAGGACAAAACATGCCACAGCTACCATGCAGCATATTAGATCAAGGAAGTTAATTGTAGGGAAAACTGTGATTGACTTGAAATGATTCAGAGTCAGTCATTCGGATCGAAACCAGCCTAGACTTGCCATCAAGGCTTTACCAGAGACTTGACGGCAGTGTAGCTTGTTTGTGATTGTTTTGCATGCAGCTGTGTGGCATCGTTTTCGTACTGTGGTCATCTTGTTATCACCAGTTGCTTTGAAGCAGATGCATGTAAAGTACAATGACAAATCCTTTTCTTGGAGCATGCTTCTGATCAAAAGTGCAGCTAAGGAACCTTTAAGTTTGAAAACACTTGAAAGCATCTCCTATTAAACCTAAATGTGGGTCTTCCTGGAATGAAGACACTGTACTGTCTGCCTTGGTGGGCAGTGAGATTACAAGAACAATGGTGATGTACAACCTTTGCCACACAAGGAGTTAATGGTTAAGTCTGCTGAAAACCAAGTCATTGTAAAGGAATATGGGCTATTTTCTCCCTGGCACTGATCCAGATAAAAACTATTTTAATTCTGGAGAATCTTTGGTTTGTGGCCTTTTCCTGCCTCCTTTGGCTTGGATGAAAATATTTGCCTCTAAGGAGGCAGGTCTTGAGTTACCATCTTAAAAATCAAGGGTTTGGTGACAAAGTGGAATTCATTAATGATGCAACTACAACTGAAATTAACTACAAGAAATGGCAGCTTTACTGGTCTGCTGTAAACGATTGACACTGACTTACTTGTAAACTAAACAAGCTCCAAGATAGAGTGGAGCAATGCAATGGCAAACTCTCAAAGTATTGGAAATGTGACGATTCAACAATGGACGTAAGTCAAACTTTATGCATCGTCCAGTGTGTTTGGTCTTGAAGCCCATCATTTTGCTCTAACATGTTGGCACTGTTCAATTGGTTGCAGGGTTTCAACCCAAACTTTTTTTAAGCAGAGGGTTAAGGTACATGTGTACATCTAGCTTTTAAGAAACCTGTAAATTTTAGGAAGTTGAGTCTGAAATCACGTTGTAATTAAACTTTGTTTTGAAGACATTACCTTTCAGTGTGTTGCCATTATCTGTCCACGTAAGAAATGTTGATATGAATTAAGTAATAAGAGCAATTTTCAAATGGGTGTCAAAAGCAATCTGAGATTGCCCTGGTTTTGCTTTACTTTGCTCTGTGACTGGTCAAGAAAACTTGGACCACTCTCCCAACCATTCTGATGAAGAACTAAAAGCAAGCGCCACTTGGTCACCAGCTTTCTGGATGGTTAACGCTTTTTTTACCTCAAGTTCAGGGTACTTGTATTTCCCTTTCTTCCTATTGATAAAAATAATACCCTTCTGTTTACAGTGGAACCTCGATTTCACAAAGTGCCAAGGGACTGGGGAAATTGGTTTGTTATATTGAGGTTCTGTGGCTTACATTATTTTTACTGTAATTTTAGCCGGGCTGAAACTGAAGTTTTGTTCATTCTACTGAGGACTTTGTTAAGTAGAGGTTCGTTAAATTGAGGTTCCACTGTACTCACAAAATTAAAGTACCTCTGCCTTCTCTTGACCCTACTTCCCAAAAAAAAATTTACTGTCACAAAAGTAGCCTCATAAAATTATGTAAACCAATGTTTTATTGGTATTCAGCTTGTAATATTTACATGAGAAGTAATGATGATAAATAAACAAAAACCATTTTTGTCAAAAACTTGCTTTAACTCGCCTAGTAGTTGAAAGGAAGAGTAATAATATTTCCCCTTACAATATCGATTCAATTTTTTGACAGGTGACAAGAATTACAAAAAAGTACTTATCACCAAACTGCAAAACCAATGTAAAACAAAAAGGCAGAAGTTAGGGAGATTGAGTTCACATTTGATGTCTTGAAACGAGAGCGTTAAACATTCCGTCACTGTGGATATTCAAACCAAACTGTGTTCTGTATTCTTTTGTGGGAAATGTTAAATACTCGAACATTCTTGAGAACAGCTGAAACTGGACCAAAATGACCTGTATCAACTTTACTAAAGTCTCTGATTTCACAATTCTATAAGTGAAAACTTTCCCCACATCCACAAAGTCCTTTGATGTTGGGATTATTGAACACAAATTCACTGGCAAGTTTATGTTCTACATAGTCCATTTCTGTTCCAAGCAGTGATAGTTGTGCCTTGGAATCAATATATATTTTTACACCTGAAAGAAAAACATCAGCATTCTGAGTTAAAGATATAATTTCCACCGAAGCAGTTAAAAAATACAGCTTTTGGTATATAAACTTCTGTTTATCACCACTTAACTTTCATCAGCTGCTACTCTCAAATTGTTCTTCCAACCCTCAACCTCTTCCCCTATCTGTTTTAGTAGTGATGCTCAGTAAGTTTTGATAAATGAATTCACCACCAATCTATGAAAAATTCTAATTGAGAAAGGGGATGCAAAAAAAAAAAAAAAAACAAACAAATGACCAACAAGTTAACACTAAGCTAGATTTAAATTTGAAACAGACTTCTGTCCACTAATACTGCTGTTTTGCACTATCATAACAAAGTCACATTAAAACTGAAAATATTGAAAAACAATAAACCAGAAGACTACAGCAAGGGCTAGTTTTCATATGTTGCAAAAATCCCAGATCCATAATTGCAGTTTTGCAGAGGTCCTAGACTTAGTCTATAATTATATCAAAACATCACTAGCTACTTGTCTTGACCCATTACATCCATATATCTCATTCATATGTTTGTTGTTTGATTTATCATCTACGGGTTTATGTCGAATTAGTTTGATGGCCTGCTCCCAGTTGGCTTGTTAGCTCAATTGGTAGAGCACTGCACTAGTATCGCAGAGGTCAGTGGTTCGAATCCCGTACAGGCCTGAATTTTTTTCAGGTCTGATTTTCACCATTGCTTAAATAGTGCTTTACTGCGAAGGAACGTGCACATATACGGTATTGCTACTAGTGTGACAAGTTTCGGGGGTTAAGAATAAATGAGTCAAAAGTTAGATGGGGTTAGGGTTAACGTATTACCTGGGTTCATATCCCCTCGGCGATGGTTCATATCTATTACAACTACTATGACTATGACTATGACTTTCTGTATTTCAATTACCCTTCCTAAGAGTATGACTATCACTATGAAAAAAGAGAGACTTCGAGAAACTGAGACTATGAATATGAACTATGAACTGAGACTATGACTATGAAACTATGACCACTGAGACCATGACTATAAAAAAATTTGGCGATATCAGTACCAAAAAAATGGGGTGATATCGGCAAAAGTGGGCAAATCAGCACACCGAACGAAGGTGTCTTCATCAATGAGTTGCTTGATTTCTCCTCTAGCTTTTTTAAAAGTCATGGAAAAGTTTTAACTTTGAAAAAGTTGGAAGTTTGAAAAGTTGACTATGATTGTGTTGTCCTTTTGTTATATGCTCAAGGGTTTGAAAGTTTTAGAAGCCCTAATGACCCTATAACCTTCGAGAGCATACCAGCACACAAAGTGGGCAGCTAAGCAGAAAAATGAGGCCAATAAACACAAGTGGGCAAATCAGCGGTGCAGCCTCTTAAACTTCCGACCGCTAAAACTCTGTACTTTCAGAGTGGAATAATTTGATATTTCATACCAAGCTAGTTCAATACAAGGACCAAAAGTGTGACAATTTTCATGGCTTAAGCAGGAGTGGTTCAAAAGTTAGATGGAGTTAGGTTTAACCTACCTCTTTTCGTCTCATCCATCTTCGATTTTTTTCAAAGGGGTAACATGGCCATCTTTGTCAACACTTCAAATTTCCTTCAAACTCCTGCTATTTGTTCAATGGTGCCCAAAACGTGTTTCTAGCGCTTTGAAAGTGATTTTCAAGGCTTAAAATGAGTAGTAACTGTACTAACTGACTAGTAACTGAGTGTCGGACTAACTAGGTTACTGAGTGGCTAACTCACGGTTAGACTGCGTGATTCACTGACCGGTTGACTGTCTAGTTGATTGAGTGGTTGACTGACTTGCTTACTGTGTGATGAGTTGCTGACTTACTGATTGGTGACTGTCTGCCCAGCTGACTGATCGAGCAGTTAACTGCTGACCTACTTGTACCTGACCCAGACACTGATTGGTTGAGTCCCTTGCAGACTGACCGGTGAGTAACTTGGTAACTGACTAGGTGACTTTCTCGCTGACGGATTGGTTGACTGACTTAATGGTACTTGACCGCTTGACATACTTGTTGACAAACTGCTTGACTGATGGAAAGAATTACTGCTTACTGACTATCGAGTGAGTATGTGGTTGACTGGTTGACTGACTCACTGCTGCTTGATTGGCTATTTGTATTGTTCACTCAATTGTTGACCGACTGGTGACTGATTGGCTAACTGACTGGTGAATGGCTAGCAAACGGACTGGTTGACTAACTCACTGGTACCTGACCGGCTGAATGACTGGTTGACTAAACGGCTGATTTACTGACTAAATGGCCCCTCAATTAAGAGTGACTACCTGACCGACTGGCTTACTGGTCGATTAACTCCTTGACTAACTTGTGACTAAGTGACTTGTGGCTGACTGACAGTAACTGGTTGACTGATTCATTG